GTTTACCAGTTAGAGAGTTTTAGGTAAATGAATCCTATCGGTTTCAGTTTTGTAAAGCTCTTTTCATAAAGGCATGTTAGATTTACTTGAAATTAATGACCAAGTTATTAAGGAGGATTCAATGAAAATTGCACACACTCGTCCCTAAACAATTTTTCCTTAGAAGCTACAAATTAAAATAAAGGCTAAAGGATAGTAATGTCTGAATATCTCTAATAGTTTATAGATCTTTTGTAATATTTTCAAATTTGAAGTAAATGAGTGTTCCATGAAATATATTACTGTATATATACTACACAGTATAATATTATGTAATATTGGGTATTTGAATATAATATTATAGTCAAAAAATGAATAGAAATATGATTAGCTTAGTGACTTTAAAATTTTATGACTGTTTACCATTTTAAAAAAGAAAATTTTGTGTGTATTGGATTCAACTATTTAATCAAAGAGAAAGAAGAAAATAATTTTGCTCTTTATGGCCATATCAAGATCTTCAGTCACTCAGTTTTTTCTCCCTCACCCAGTCTTGTGTTTGCATTGGATTCCTTCCACGGTCAGATACTCAATGTTTCATTTTTCACTAGCCTAGATTTCCAAGCCCTTTACTGTCCCTGTATGTCCATGCCAATCTTCAGCTCTGCATCCTTCCCAAGAGGATGGCGTTCAGTAATAACTGGAGAGGCAAGCAGAGGTCCCATCTCTATGCAGCTGAGGCCACTTGGCTCCATCTCTAGTTTCTGCCTCATTTCAGGCTCTCGAGGCAGGCTGCACTGAAGGAGTTGTAATTCCCTACATATAAGGCTTAGTAATGTGTCATTCTTGCTTTGTGACCCAGTTGGACCTTATGCCCTGGGTCTAGTCATTAAGTTTCGATCTTGTCCCATTTTTCTCAGATTGTTTTGGTACCCTGTTAGAAACCTCTGCTCCGTTCTTTATGTCTTTCCCAGCTTTGTGTCCTATGCCATATTCTAGTCTTGACTGGCGTCCTGCTCTCTGCTGAAAGAATTGTATATTTTCCCCACTTGTACATCCTCTAACTTCTATTTCAGTATCAGTGCCAGATTTTTAACTAAACTTCTACTTTTTTTTGATTTCTAAAGAATTTGTCCAATAGGATTTCTCTCATTTTATTTAAATAATTCAACTGTTATCTCCTAAAGTAATAATTTTATTATTGCATTTACATAATATAAGACAACCATTTTGTTATGAAATTTATAGTACCTTTATAGATTAAAAACCTATTTTTCCGTTTTGTTCTGGACGAAGATTAGCCTCTTTTGTATGACAACTCTATATCTAGTTACCTTGCTGGGCGCTCACCGCCATACCTCACCTTCCCAGATCACAACCGTTGTTTCAGGGCTCCTCCCTCCCCAGGTGTCAGAGTTACCACATTTTCCCATAAAGTGAAATGTGTATAACCAATCACAGTTTCCCCTTAGGAAACACATTGTCTTAAAACATGCTTTCATGAGTTGATTATTTCCCTCATGTACTGTTTGCATTCACACATACACAAGCATGCACACACATGGATGTATATATGTGTTTATGTGTGTATTATGTTCTAAAGGCTCTAATTTAATTTGTCAAACACGCATTCCACATCCCCACCCCATGCAGCCAGTCTCTGGAGAAATGTATTTTCTTACATATGTAGTTCTTTAATATGAAGTATTGATTCAAATGCCATCGCTTTTGGAGAAGCCCCATTGAAAATCAAAGCAAAATTACTTGTATCTGTATAACTCCAAATTGTATCAAAATATGCAAACATTTAGAAAATCTGTTTGGTGTTCGTGTAAATGTAAATTGTCAATACTGTGAGATTGTTAACAAGACATGAATTTCAATTTCCCCTATTCTTAGGAAATGGGGCAGTTTAACCAAAGTGATTATTTTAGATTTGTTTTCATTTTATATAGTTCAGTGAATCTGCTAAACTTTCTATCATTGTAGGGATTTTCAAATTACATTTTTTTGCAGACTGTCTTGTATACAAAATACTGAAATATTCAATAGGTGTTAAATTCATCAGTAAAAATTTAAAACGTATTTCTTGTTCAAAAGTATGAAATGAAAAAAATTGTTAAAGTGCTAATCTTATTACTAACATGAATTCAAGCCACCGCCCCCCAAAGTTAGTAAGGATAGTGACAAAAATTACTTATTTAACAATGAGGCTTAATGTGTTGCTTGTAAAAGATGAACATTGATTCTTTTTTCTTTTGTGGAATATTAATAAACCTTAACAGAAAACAGCATCTTACTTTATTTCATAAAATTGTATTGGTTATGTATCCTCTATTTAGAAGCTATTGATATTTGATGCATAATCTAGAAAAATTTTATGCAATGTTTAATTTTGTATATTAGTTTAAACTTGTAAATGCATAAAAACTAATTATAATTTATGTGAAAAACTGAAAAATTCAGCTACTGGGTTAAAGGTATTCTCCACATACTCATTATACAAATATTAAAATTCCTCTGTGAGTTATCTAGTATCCATCCTGGAGACTGACAGTTTATTTTTACTGACAAAATTGAATAAAGGAACAATAGAACAAGGGATGGCAGCTATGGTATCAGTTTGTTCAAAAATGTTTACTTATTGCTCACTATTGACTAAGAACTGGGCTTGTAGGAACAAACAAAACAAATGCACACTGTCAGCTTACTGTTTAGTGGGAAAATTAAATAATTATGCAAATAAATATTCATTCACAGGCTGTACTACATACTTGAAAGATAAATGACAAATGACAAGTTGTGACAAGTTGTAAGGCATTGGGTTAATTTAGAGTGGGGTTGGTTTCAGAGATGTAGGAAGATTTAAAAACTCATCACCACAGCTACTTTCATAAAAATCTTTCAGGATTAACTCTTTAAATCCACTTACATTTTATACTATCCTAATATTATATAACATTATATTTGTATTTTGTATATAATAATTTATATTTTCCTATTAAAAATAAGCATTTGTTCTCAAATTGGAGTCAGAAATATATGTATATATACATATATATATGCCTCATAAAACCTGGTAATCAGTATTGTAGAATGGTCAACCTTAATTTAGTTCAGGTTCTTCTAATGAGGTGGTATTTCAGGTAATTCTATTCGGTACTGTGTGCAAATTTTGGACTGATTTTTGCAATTATTACCAAAACTCATGTAAAAGTGGCTTCCTCTTAACATTGTATTTTGACATGCTGGGTCCCCATGTTACCAGTGGAGGGTTTGGAATCAGAGCAAGGAGGTAGCAAACCTAGGGAATGGCCAGGGAAGTAGGGAAAGACATGCATCTTATAAAGAGAGTGGATCAGTGATGTTGAAATACTCTCCTCGTTAGTGGAGTGCTAACACTTTTATAGGATATTAGTGGAAAGAAGCAATGGAGCAAGGATGGAAATGACAACAAGAGGCAATATTTATTGATATTTAACATGTGTCAAGAATTGTGTTTAACGCTTTATATTCTTTATTTTTTTAACCATCTCTATAAGGTAAATACTTTGATTTTTAGCACTTCAAGGAGAAAAACGCTAAGATTTAGAAAGTTTGAGTACCTTTCCAAAGGTGATTTAGGTAATTAGTGGATGCGGAGGCTGCAACCATTTTAGATGAATCCTGCACTCATCTTTTTCTGAAACTGATTGTGTGTTTGTGCAGTTCTGAACTCAGTTTATTTTTTGTGTTTTTTAACGAATCTTAGCCTAATCTAATTCTAATAGATTTTCTCCTAGGCTTTTACCTTCCACAGTGATGGCTATACATGAGAATAAAGGTACTGGTAGGTTTAAAAACCAAACAAACCAAAACCCAAAAAACAACAACAACAAAAAAACCCCTCCTTTTTATGTTGAGCTTTTTCTATTTTAGAAATTTTTAGGTAAGTCCAAAACACTTTAAGTAGAATCATCTTAGGAAAAGGCAGTGTATTGAATTAAATATATTGCCAATAATTCTAATCAGAGGTGGCCATTTTTGCATGTTATTTTTCTTAAAGTAAGTGTTGACCATTCATGGTCTCATAATTGCAAGAAATATGTATTCCAGTATAGTGCCCTTTGGGAATAATGTTAGCCAAATAAAATCATGAGAGCTATAATAATGTAGAGAGATTAGTAATGATATAAAATTACTTAGAATTAATTTACCTGGAAAAATAGCATTAATAAAACTGTAAGGGTTGGTGCACACTATCTAGTTTGTCTGTAATTTCTTTTTTCCAGAGATTTTCTATAGTGCTGTCATATTTTCTTAAAGGTCTCTTTATAAGTAAACTCTAATTTATAGAAAATAATGCATACCATTATATCACAACTATGATGTTATATGAGACATTTGTCACTGGGAATTTATTTGATAGTTTCTTTTTCCTACATTTATTGTGATTTAGATCTTTTAAAAATGCTATCTTACTTTTCTTCCAAATGCATTTGTGATCCCTACATAGATATGATAGTACATCTCACAACAAGATTGCTTACAGGTTTGTTCAATACCATCATTTTCATATCAATGAAAGCTGAAATTTCTTGAAATTAGCTATTTATTCCTAAAATATGAACATTTTATCGTTAAGTCTTATAAATACCTACATATTCCTTATAGATACATGGTTTAGTATATAGGAAATTTTTAAATTAATTGTTTGTGAATACCTAACAACAGAGGATGAAGAAACGAGAACAAGGACACGAAGAATTTCCTCCTTCTCGCTGGTGAATGGTAAACTCACGTCCATATTTGTAGTAGATTGCATTTTTCAGAGATGGCCACATATCATTTCTCTTATGCTGTTCTTACAGAGTGACTGACACTCTTCCACCCAGGAGGTGGGATCTGTATTCCCTCCTGTAGAATCTGTGTTGGGATGGGGTCTGCTTGACTCCACAGGATATAGTGGAAGCAAATTCTATGTAATTTTAATGCTAGGTCTTAAAAATGTTATAGGTTCTGTCTGGCTATCTCTCTGTCAGGCTACATGACTGTAGAACCCAGTTGCTGTGATGTGGGGAAGCCTGGACCAGCCCATCTGGAGAGACTATGTGGACAGGCACAGTGGAAAGGAACTGAGACCCTTAGATGACAGCCAGTATCAATCACCAGATCTGTGAGTAAATTACTCTTCAAAAGATTCCAGGCCCCAGTCTCTGGGATTTCACCAACATTGTGAAACAGAGACAAGCTATCATTGCTGTGCCCTGTCTGAAATCCTGACCACAGAATCAACGGCTGTTTTGTGCCAGTAAGTTTTATAGTAATATACTATAGAGCATTGGATAATTGGAATAATATTTAATATTTTTAAAGAAGTGGATATATCTTGGAATAAGATACGTAAGAGATCAGAGATTGTTTTGTTTTGTTTTTTTACTGTTCATGAGACTTGGCCATAAAAATTAATTTATGTCTATGTATTAGGCTTTGTCTCACTAAATAAACCATTTAATTCAATTTTATTAAGTTAACAATTGTTCTAAATTGGTCTTAGTAGTAGAGTTACCAATGGGAAATCAGATCCAACATGTTGGGGTTAGAACCACCAAGAGTTTGCCCATCCCTGATCACATGAGCTGGTAAGTGGGACCACAGTTGAAGGTCTTAGCCCTTGTCACAGGTTATAGCTGTTTGGTTGGCACATCCTTCCTATTTCAGTGTTTTTACTGAGATCACCAGTCCCCTCTGATTTGATTAGTAGGAATCAGTGGCAGTAAAGTCAAAGTCCAGGAGTCCAAAATCATGACTTTCCTGGGAGAAAATGGCTACTCTGTGAAAGAAAATTCCCTGTAGCCAGAAAGAGGGAAGAAAGAAATGGGGAGTTGATTCTGCTTTCTTCTTTCAGTGGGTTATTTTGTTATTTTGTTCTTAATGTACCTCAAGTGGGAAAGTAAAAATATGCACAGACTAGTTCAAAATCTGTCTTTCACAACGAGCACAGTGGAAAAAACATGAATTTTTGAAGCCACAGAGAAACAATCTTTCTTTTCATGTTAATAGTTTTGTGACTCAGGGCCATTTATTTCCTATATCTGAAAGTGCATATTTATTTAATGTGGTTAGTAAACCCATCATACAGAGGTAGATGTTGTTGAATAATAAATGAGATTGTAAACGTAAAATGTCTAGCACAGTACAAAACTGAAATATATATATGTATAAATATATATATATATAAAAGATTGAAGGAAATGGAAATAGCTGCAAATGGTAACCAAGGTGCACACATTCTCTCTTCTCTTTGCATCTTCCCCTTTCTCTGGGAGATCTCAACTAGTCCCTTATCTTCAAGTATCATCTATGTGGTAACTTTATATCTGCATCCCAGAATTATCAGACAAAAAAGAGAGTATGCTGGCAACACAGATGATATAGCTCAGCTGAACAGGAAAAGGGGTCAAGAGAAAGAGAAACTTGGACATAAAAATGATAGAGGACTCCGTTGTCTTGCGAATGGAGCTTTGGAAAGACAAAATTCTGGACATGAAAAAGAGGGTGTTGTAAGTTAACGGAGGAGGAGTTTTAAAGGCACAGGTTTGTGTTAGAAAAGAGAAGCATTACGTTAGGTTAGGAAGAAGACACATAGCACCATAAATAGGAGAATGCAAGGGGGAAAATTCTCGGTGAGGGGAAACGGCGCTGAAGTAAAACAGATGTGAAGCCCAATGAATGTAGTACTGTGGTCACCTGGAGGCTGGTGAGCATTCATGACTTGCGGTGCTCAGCCAGGGACTGGGGGCTTCGGATGATTCTGTAGTGTAGGTTAGTGTTCCTTTTCACTCTGTTCGTAGTGGTGGGCACTCACAGCAGCAGGCAGCAGCCGGAGTCTGGCCATAAGAGCTCTGTGGCTTGGCGCACAGAGTTCAGGTGCTATTGTGCGGAAGCTGTGTTGTGTGCCACATGTGGACGAGTGGCAGAGTACAGTGGTCTTACTTGAGAATCGTAACAATTTAGCGCAGTATTTAGCTTGAATGTGTAGTTCGTTTTGCAGACAGAATAAATGCAATTGTCCTTTACGGTTTGATTTCTGGGTAGAACTGAAGCACAGCCATGGAAGATGGCAGAATTTGACATCACACTCATTAACATGAGTTGCTTCATCTTCCTATTATTGAGAGTTAACGTGGGAAAGGGAGCTAATGACAGCTGCAGTTTGAACACTGGGTGGATTACATCACTGGTCATACCTAGTAACAGTTGGTGGTGAGGTGGGAGAAAAAGAGGTGGGGAAGGACACGAGGATGACATTGAAGTGTGGAGCTTTAGATCTTACAGGAGAGCGTGAGTCAAGAACCTTAAAAATATTGTCACTTTTTAAAAAAATCTTAGGCTGGTATGGAGCAGAAATATGGATAACATCAACAAATATTTGAGCTTCCAGTTTATTCTTAGGATTTTACAACCCATCTTATAGTTTCTGTTTATGTGTTTTTTTTCTCTTCTGTAATCCTTTTTCCATTAATCTATGTGTACAATAGAAGATAAAACATTTTCCTTTTGCAGTGAATGCTAGTTTTCTCTTTATTAAAAGCTTCCTTGAAATTCTCCCATTCTAATTATGTACCCAATTTGCATTTTAATGTTTCCTTTAAATTATTCATAGCTAATATTTTAGGTTTTAAATTATTCTCAAAAAATTCCTACATTGTGTGTGTGTGTGTGTGTGTGTGTGTGTGTGTGTTTTATACAGCAGTAATTTCTCAACTCTGGCTATATATTTGAGGGGAATATCTGTGAGCGGTATTTAACCCCATCCTCAGATATATGATTTATTTAGGACATCTAATTTCTGACAGTTTTTAAAGCTCCACTAAGTGGCTTTAATATCATTTTAATGTACAGACAGTGATGAGAATCATAGAATTAGACTATTTTCATTTCTGAGAGTTTTTACAGGCCCCCTAAGTGATTTTAATATGGCTTTAATGTACAGATAGGGATAAAAATCATTCAATTAGAATATTTAAATTAGAATACTTGATTAAAAATTAGACATTATCATGATTTACTGCCCCCTCTTTCGCTACAATTTTTATACAAATGAAAATTCCTACACTGGGATTTGGTCAGCACTACTGCAAGTTTCACTGCAGGAGGTGTGAGGATGCCAACATCTGGTCATGCTTGTCTACAACCCAGCATTTCATACATAAGCCACTTGGCAACAACATGTCAGTATGGTCTCTGGCATTTTGAAAATTCTTTTCTGCATTAGTCAATTCATCTGTGTATTTTGAGTGATGAATCATAAGCAGCTTCTTCATGATCTCTTTCATCAGGTTCTTTTCTCAAAAAAATTCCTGGGAGTAAAATGAATCTCATGCACTTGGGCACCTGCTAGGGCTGATGAAAATCCCGGTTGTTTTGTTTATATGTAGTTATTGAAATGGTCTTTGTATATAAACAGTCACAGGTGGCCACATTTATTCTGTTTAAACATCCGCAGAGGTTGCTAGGAAAATCTCAGTTATGATGACTTATTTCCGGATTTATTTTATGTACCATCTGCTGATTAATAACATTAATAGAATTTTTCCTTATAACGTTGTTTCAGAAAAATTAAATCTGTTTACTCTTCCCAGCAAAGACAATCCTGAAAAATCGAATGTTGTTGCTTTTGATTGTTTGTTTAAAAAAGTTACAATATATGTTCATTCATTCAAGGTTATAATTCCTGGTTGTTTTGTTACTGCTTCATTTCTCCCTTTAATTATTCCTTGCTTAAATTACTTATTCATTCAATACTCACTCTACAGACAGAGCCATGCAAGGTGCTATGAAGCATTTCTCTGATAGCTCAAAGACATCAGATCTGTTCTGCCAGTACAGTGTTTGCAGATTCCACCCCAACCCTCCCAGAATGACAAACTGCCAGGTGCAGGTTCATTTACTATAGAAAGATGACGTTTGTGTTGATGACAGGCTGCTATGCCTTGAGTTGACATCTAGACACTGAAGTTGTGGTTAGTTATTGAGATATAGTTGATACCCAAGGGAAGTTGTGTGGAGGAAACTGTACAAACTTTGTAGTCAGATAAATATGGGAGAATTCTGTTGCTGGCTTTAATATGCTGAATGGCAGTAGATGTGGCATTAGTTCTACCTAAACCTACAGGTAGAGTTGTTTTGAGGATTAGACCTAGTAGTTTATTGAAATTTCCCAGTACAATGCTCAAAAATATCAAATGGTGTTAGTACTATCTCTTGGTGTGATTACTGGCATTAAATATTAAAGGATAATCTAGGTACTTTTTTCCTTTGGATGTTTCTGTCCACAGTAAATATCCAGTCCTCTGTCTTGGTGAACTGAGCTGGACATTTGTTTTGTTTCTTCCTTCACCGTAGACAGAGTAGTGTAAACTTGCACTCCAATCCCTGTCCTCCTCTCTCCAGGTTCAACATTGATCGCATCTCCTTGATTTTCAGATTTTGATTCTAGATTTGGGAGAGAAAAGGAAAAGAGTCACCTCATATTTACTACTATTATTGAACTTTTTTTTCTTCATTTCAACTACATTTAGATCTTCCATCCAAATCGTGTTCCTCTGTGGCTCCAAATCTATCCTTCAGTTTGCTCTTAACTCACTAAGTAGGAAGATGACTTAGGTCATATTTCCCCTTTCTGAGTAAAGAGGTTCCACAGAGTTATTCACTCCATAGTTGGTAGGACTTCTGCAGACCACAAACAGTGGAAAAAGCATGGGAACCACAAAGGAGACTGGTCCTGAAAAGCATCCATAAAATAAGTAAGTGAATTAAATGAAAGATAGACCAGTTCTCAGTTTAAGGTTTTGGCCTGATCTCTGCTCACAGGGGTGAAATATATTGTTTGGCAGCAATGTAATTGAAATCCTCTTTTTGGGGAAATAAAACTGTTTGGGGAGAAAAAAAATAGAATAGTTTATCTGAGGTTGACTCATAATCTACTCAATACTGGACTATTTTTACAAGTTTCTGTGGTGACTCCTCTATAGTCAAGATTTGGAGGCTGTCAGATCCTTACTGACACCTTATCTCAAAGTATTCTACCTTCAATGTAGTAGTCTGGAAGAAATTTCCCCAGTATAAAGGCTTACTTTTAACGTGAAAAGCCTCTGCAATAAACAGAGACTA